TACGACGTTCTTGTTACAATTGTATTCTTAACCGTGTTCCATTAATCGTAAGAAGTACAAGCTCTATGCAGATAGCGAGCGCATGGTCTAGAAACATTCTCAATTGTCTGATATACATACTCCAGCAAATCTTATACATATTAGGTTTGTGATCAAAATCGTAATGTTAAAGTTGTGACTGTAATTCGCATTAGAGTACTAGAGGAACGCAGAGGGAATATGCTACTCAACTCGTATATAATTTCATGGAATAAATGAATATTTCTTACAGTATTTGGTTTAGGAAAACGAAATACATCGATTCCAATTTTTAAAAGCTCATGTCATGAATAATTTTATCTAATATTGTACTTCTTACATATTTGCAAGGCAATCGTATGGTGATGATGCATAGTATCATGTGAAATATGTCCCGAACATGCTAAAAGCAATACATAGTGTGGCATATATTTATTTCCCTGGGCACTCTGATCCACAGCATTCCTGGCGGTCTTTATCGATCTGTTTTTACATTCTCGGACGATACAATAACGATAATATTTTGTTCATGTAAACTAGTAGAAGTCATACATATGCTTAAACCTTTGGGAGGTTATGCTACTCTCAGATGCTGTTTACAAATGGTATGACGTCAGAGTACATGAATATGGGCCAAACACGGAGGACAGCGTTTCCGCCTGTCTAGTATATTTTTAAATTAAATTAAAGTTTTACGGAAGGGAACGGTACCGCTGCTGGTCAAAATTCTCAATGGGCACAAAGCTCAAGAGACTCATCTTCAAGAATTGTCAAGCCTCAAAAGTGTACATTTTTGGCTCAAGGAAATAAGAAATTGACGTATGGTAGATGTCTAGAGCATGCATTATGTAGACTACTATCATATCGTTTCAAATACTCGACAAACATAGTGGATCATACAAGTTTAAAGCTTAAATACTATTCCGTAGTCTTAGTTGAATCTAGAATTCGCTGTGGAATACTGAAAATAATGGAAATCATGTATCCAACCGACAAACTATTCTTTGAAACCGGAACCTTAGACATCAGACAACTGTTTGTCTATCATATTGTCCAACTTATCTACAAAAGCAAGAAACATTTCTATAGAATCAGCCATCAATACAACACAAACCAAGAGGGAATAAAAACACAACTACATCAGAAACCCATCATAATACGATGTCATACCTATTTATCATGTAAAATTTATAATTGCTTACCAAACCAAGGTATATATCGAACATACGGTGTAGCACAAAAGTCCCGAAACGGCTTGACCTTCACCTTCAAGGTTAATTCAGGGTCAACTCCATTTTTCAAACCGTTATCCCTATTTTTGATGCCGGCAATCGGAAGAACAGAAAAGGTTATGTTCAAACACAATTAAAGTCCAAGGATCACTGCTGAAGGTCGAATGAAGATCAAATGTGTGCTGGTAGAAAAACCTTGATGACTCTCACAGTGATCAAAATAACTACCAAGGTCAGTACAGTACAAATTTTAACGAGGGAGTGAAAGCTAATCTTGTGTTTGACCTTGACCTTCACCTTCAAGGTTATTTCAAAGTCAACTTAATTTTTAATCGAAATCCCCATTTGATGCCGGTAATCGGAATAGCAAATCATTTTCAATAAGTACAAATACGAATTGAAGACTAATATCACGGTGACCATTAAAGGTCAAATGGAGGTCAAATGTGTGCTGTTAGGAAAACCACGATGAATCCTACAGGATTAGTGACTATCAAGGTCAGTTCTTTAGGAAATTTTTACGAGAGATCTAGGATTTGACCTTGAACCCCAACTTTAAGGTCATTTCAATGTCATTGAAGGAACAATATCGGTTAAAAATCATTTGTAACGAGCACTGTAGTTCCTAGTTAGAACTTACCCAAAGTTAACTTAAGTTTTTTGACGGAAACCCATCTTTGATGCGGAAAATCGGAAGAGCGGGTAATTTTACATTCGAATATGTATTTAAATCCAAGATCAAGATGACCGCTGGAGGTCAAATAGGTTAAACAAAGGTCAAATATGCGCTGCTAGGAAAATCTCTATAAGTCACGCAGAGATAGTGACGAAACAAGGCAATCGTTACAAATGATTCTTAACCGATACTGTTCAGAATTTCATGTAAATCCAGAAAAGGGTTTATTAACCATTCCTTAATTCAAGAGAGCTGCAAAGCCTTGTCATAAAAATGTTAACAACCATCCCTGCATAAAAGCAAATAATGCAGTGTTCATAAAGTAATTTATGGGGACTATGATGTGCACCTAGTTTATGAAACGAATGAGAAACACTTTTTATGGTGCCGTCACTGTATATACGAGTAGCTTTGTTTGTCATAAAGGCCCGTTTCAACAGCTAATTGTATTGACGAGAGGACATTATTGGCCAAATATATATTTTTCTGTTTTTATCGGGGCATAAATTCATAATGCCGCAGTGCACTGGCTGTGTTTACGTTGCACTTCAAAATAACGTGTTGCTTGATTTACTGTTATCTTTTACGTATTTTCATCGGTAGTTACATGTTACGTGATAAGGTCATCTGCTGATGGAGAATGTATGTGGCCGCACATACGGACCGATGTGTTATAGGTACACGATAAAATTGTTTCTAACGATAAAGCATGAAGAAAAATCTCATGCTTTGCGAAAAAAGTACTACTGATTTTTATGTGCAGTAGCACAAAGCTAAAGTATCACAATATCTGATGTAGCACAAGAAACTGTTTAAAAAGCCATTTTCGACAGCCAAGATTATATCGGTCAAACAATTTATATATTAAGGAAAGAGGGATTCTTGATAGTAGGCAACTTTATTTCTTATATGCCACCACCTTATACCATAAACATTGTAATGAACAAAATTCCTATAAGGACGAGCATAACACACGATTTCGGATAGGCTCCTCTACAGGGTGGCCAATATACAGGGTGTTCCTTAATGATATGCGAATATTTAAGGGTGTGAATCTACATGAAAATCAATGTTAGTTTGCTTTATAAACTATCGTCCAAAATGTTTCCTTACTTGGTGCGGTTCGAACTGTTCGTACACCGGAAACTATCGAGAGAGTTCGTGAAGTTGTAGTGGCGCGCCCTGAGACGTCTACCAGACATCGTTCTCAAGAACAAGGTGGAGCTCCAGGCAAAAAACGTAAAAACAAAAATCGCTCAACTTTTAGATGCTCTTGTTCATTTTCCGAAAAAAACATTGTAGGATTGAAAGGCAAGGAGTTGGGATGGACGAGGATATATGTCAATCTTTTGGTACTGGTAATTCTACGACACGTTTGACACCTAGGTTAGTAGGGCAGAGGAGAAATTCCTAGACCGCAACGTTGTCAAATGGTTGGACACTATACAGGGTGTCCGCAAAGTTGGGGTTTTCCTTTTCAGAAACAACTACCCTTGAAATAACAAAGGTAATGTGTAGTGAAACGAGGGCGACCAAGTAAAAAAAATAAAGGAAAAAGTACTCACTCTCCAGTTGACGAGAAGGGCTCTGCCCGAAATCATACCGCTCCAACAGAAAATGAAATCAGCTGATGCGCTACCGAGCAGACGCTGGCGGTGGTGCAGACCACGAAGAGAGGTAACAAATATGACGGCGTTGCCGCGTATTCAGTTTTTAGGTAAACGTACTTTATAGCTATTGTTCGAGGTTATCGCCGTTTGATTCAAAAACACAGGTGCGTGCACGACGTAGCCAAGTATCGGTGCAGGCTTTGAGAATGGAGTCCTTCCCCCGAATGAAAGCACCAGCTTGTTCAATTCTGAGACGAAGTTCGTCAACCGTATGCACTTCAGTTTTGTACACTAAGCGTTTCATTTCTCCCCAAAGAAAAAAATCACATGGTGTTAAGTCTGGAGATCGCGGAGGCCACGCTACGTGTCCATAACGTCCGATCCACCTATTCGGAAATAATTCATTCAAAAACTCACGCACTTCGCGTCTAAAATGGGGCGGGCACCATCGTGCAGAAACCACATTGATTGTCTTACACTTAATGGCACATCTTCTAACAAGGAAGACAAAATGTTGCGTAAAAAGTCTAGGTATTGCATCCCGTCCAATCGATTTGGGAGAATAAATAGTCCAATGAGCATACCGTTCACCATGCCAGCCCAAACATTCACCGAAAATGTTTGTTGAAAATGTGCCCGACGGACAGCGTGCGGATTTTCTACTGACCAAACATGAGTGTTGCGAAAGTTATTCACCCCATTACGCGTGAACGTAGATTCGTCTGTCACCAATATGCACTTCAAAAAGTCCGGATTATTGTCATGTTGATGCAACAACCACTCATAAAACCGCACTCTTGCTGGAAAATCGTCAGGTTGAAGGGCTTGTACACGTTGGACGTGAAACGGATACAGCCCCTCTTCACGCAGCGTTTGACACACTTTAGTTTTTGATACTTGCACTTCTCTAGCCACGTCTCTAGTGCTTGTTGAGGGTTCTCGTCTACGCGATTACCTCTACACGCGCGACCGTAACCGTCGGTTGAAGGTTGCATACTGACCTGACATAGTGACCCCGAAGCAGTTCTGTCGTCGGGTTGAGCCAGTGACCTTGTACCACTCGGTGATGTCGCGGGTCGCGGCTAAAGGACGGTATTCAGATATTTTTGATGTTGCAGAGCCCTTTATCTCGGTTACCTTAAGACATTGGTGTATATGGCACTAAGAAAAATTGCTTATGTTTTCAAGATCTACACGTCGTGTAAAGGAAACCCCCAACTTTGCGGACACCCTGTATACTAATTCTTGCTTGACAGACTTGATCTATTTAAAGCCTTCTATACATGTTTGTAGCTAACTTTTTTCTGAGAGGGGCTAACTTGTGGCAAACATAATCTTTGATGTCAGCGTTGCGCGTAGGGTCAACGTAAAAAACCGCATTTATCTCCCTCGATGATTTTTCAAACCTAGCAGTGGTTATTATTTCTACAAGCAGTGGGTGGAAAAACTTTTAGATCTACTTACCGAACACTGAATCGTTGTCTAGTAGATTTCTCTTCACATCGCTAACTTCGGTGCCACCACTGACCACAGACGGGGGTACTGAAGTCCTTGGTGGTTTTGTGACAGGGTTTACGTCCGTTATCAAGCCCTGTAACAATATGTTTAATCTTGAAATTCCTCTTTCCAAGTATGCTCAAGCGAGGTACTGGGGAAAACCCGAGGAAAGCTCAATTCCCTTAGCATATCGGTAGAAGAGAGCCAAATCAATTACTATCCGCTTATGGGAAAGAGGCGTAAGGACGTCTGTAATGGCGTAACACGACGCAGTCGGATTGTTCCTTGTTCTCCACTGAACCTCATCAAGTATGGATAGTGCTGTCGAGACAGCAGCTCCCCAAACGCGCGGAAATCGTTCAGGCTTTAACTCAGTTTTTTACGGAGTCGCGCTGGTGATGAAATGTACTTCCTAAGCCTGAACAGTTACTCCAGCTTCAACAGCGAGACGTGTTTGAACGATATCAATTTCTCAACAAGTATAACCTAAGCTTGAACAAATAGCTTCTTGGTGAATTTTGCTCGTCAATTAATGTCAGATGTTGGCTTGAGCGTCTCTTATTTGCAAAAGTGTTATCCAAAGTTTAAAGAAGCATTAAAGCATACTCTCAGGGTCCCAAGCAATGATTACTTCCAGATCTTTAATCGAAAAAGAAGCCATTATCAAACTTCATAGCCCCAACTCATCGATACAGATCAGATATGGAGGGTATAGGTACATAACGGGGAATGTCCTAATAAACTAATTTTGAGGAAAAAGTATATTACTTTTATTGAGATCAAAGTATGCAGTAACTTTTACCTAGAACTAATTAAATGTTTTGTATCTAATACAATTTTGTTGTTGACATAGGACCTTTTAATTATTAAACATATTTAAATTGTAATTTTAAACCGTAATGACTCAATCTTCCTTTAATGAGTTCATATCAGTAAAATCTTTTTCCTTAACCTCTGATGCAATTTTTTTACAATTTTCATGCTTTTATCTTTGATTTGTTGGGTTTATGCTTTTTTGCAGATATTCAACCTTTTCTGTGATAATTCCATGAAGTGCAATGCATGCTAAACATACAGGCTCATCTTTTATAACATTATTGTTGATATCCTTACCTTTTACCCTCACTATATGCAACTGTATGAAAATTAGTCTCATCTTCAAACTTCCTGCTTGTTCTTCGTTTCACATTATAAACATTTATAATGCCTGACAAATATAAGTTCTGTTCATTGACACAACCCAATGAATTGAAATATTTAATAATGTTTTTTTATTATTTCCATTTATATTCTTAAAACTTTTGAACCTTGTTCATGAGAAGAAAGTTGCAATTTTTTAATTACATCTTCGGTTCTACCAGTTTTCTTTCTTTTCTTTGTTGATTTGTTAATAATACTCTGATTGTTTTCATCATTATCTGAATCAGAAAATATATTCAGCTTCAAATTATTATACCACAAACTTTATATAACATATATATACAGGGTGGCGCATCGAAAACGAAACACGCATTTACTGGCAACTCAGTTTTTTTTTGAAAAACACTCAGACTCGTCGATTTTGTTTTCGAGGGGGACACGAGTTTGGAAAAAAATCACGTTAACACGTGCAGCCCTCTGGGCGGGTGTGACACCAACCCTAAAATCTTAAATGGAAAGGGGGTCCGAGTGATACCTTATTTTAAAGGTCTTTCAATTCCCTTTATAATGACGTAAAATACACGAGCTTCAGTTCAATAGTTTTGAAGATTTATTGATTTAAAGCTTAAAGTAGACTTTAATAGGTACATCAGATTAGTTTGTACTACTTTCAGAAGAAATTTGACTAAAAGAATTTACTTAATAAGTAAATGCTTTTCTTCACTACGCCCATGGTTTGTTTATCATTTTGTTGTTGAAAATAGCTATTGGAGCGTTTTTTTATGGCAAAAAAGTTATTTCTTGAAGAAAGATAAGGAAATATCTAGTACTCATTTTAAATAGGAATTTAGTACATGGTTTGCGATGCATTGTTTGTAGCTAAAATTGCGTAATTTTCATGCATTCTTTTGACTCTTTCGACTACCAGTGCCTACCACAGTGACATCCTTGTCAGCATAATAATACTAATCGGTGGAAACATCTACCTTTATTAGGCTTGTGTCGCTTCTGTCAAATGCATATTGATCTTCACATTATGAGAATTAAGAGACAAACAAATCCCTGACTGACTCCTTGCAGCCCATAGCCGCCTAAAGGATCCCCCACACCGACGCGGTAAGGCCATAGCGATAAACGTACCGCTGTCCATGCGGTGATCAGTTGTCAGAGCGCTAAATAACAACGATCACACCAGCGCGGTGGGGTGGCCCGGGGATTATCGCCGTGACAGCGTTTCATTTCAGAATCGCTGCTGAAGCGGTGCGTATCGCATATCGCCACGTTCTTCACGATGTCCATAAGACAAGACTATAAAAATTGCAGGAAAAAGGATATAGTGTGAGATCTAAACTTACAATTAAATCAAAACAAATGGAAGTCATTTAAAAGTATACGTAAAAACGTTGTGGATCTTTAATCATTAAAGTATGATATTCTCCATATTTCTTTCTGAGGTTATTGATATCATGTATCCATTTCTTCTTTTTCCTTAAACATAATTATTAATTATTATTAACTAATGATTATCATCAAATTACTTCTTTTTTGCATTTTATCTTCTGCTAAGGCCAATAATGATAATAGTTCTTCGTCACCAGAAGACATATTGAATAGGAAATCAAAAAACGTTTGAGAATATCGCGCCATATTCTCAAAGATGTCAAAGGGTGAGTATTTTGTTGATAACCATTAGTTAATAATAATTGCGTTCAAGGAAAAAGAAGAAATGGATACTTGATACCGAGAAACAAAGAAAGATATATGGAGAACATCATACCTTAATTCCAGAAATATTTAGAGATCCACAACGTTTTTACGTATCTTTTCGAATGACTTCCGCTTGTTTTGATGAAATCTTAAATTTAATGTGATCCCACACTTTATCCATTTTCCTGCAAATTTTATAGTCTTCGAGACTTAAATCGTACAGTATTGGGTACTTCATAGCTTGTTCAATTAATTTTTCCATTGTGGACATCGTGAAAAACGTGGCGATATGCGATACAAACCGCGTCAGCAGCGTTTTTGAAATGAAACGCTGTCAAGGCAATAAACCGCGCTGGTGTGATCGGTGTTATTTACCGCTCTGAAGACTGAGCCCCGCATGGACAGCGGTACGTTTATCGCTATCGCCTTACCGCATCGGTGTGGGGGATCCTTTAAGGTGATATACGATGTTCGACCTTAGCGGCTAGCGCGCATGCGCATGTCACGCACATTTAAACGTTAACGCAATGATTATTTTGCGATTTACCGTTGCAGTGAAGCACCTAGTTCCCGAAGTAGTGATCACGTTACGCTTTTTCACGGTACTTGGTGACAGTCGTGATTCGTGATTTAGTAATATCAGTTACTAAATCACAGTTCGTAAAATATCTGCTATCACTATTATGTTAAAAAGAGAGGACACTTAAATAGAAACAGTGTTAAAGCTGAAATCAATCTCCCGGAACACCCCAGTTGATATTGATATCAACTAAAACGTGTACCTTGACACTGAAAAGACAAAGCGCAGTCTGGTACCAAAATGGAAGAGAGTAGCATAAAGCATTGTACGCTACTACTAAGGCGTGTCTACATTTGGCTTACCACGTGTTGTGCTACTCTCTTCCATTTGAGTATCCGGGTATAGATACAAGCTAAATATAATCAATCTAACAAGTGTTTTACCTTTTTGATATCAGCATGCCCTCCACTCATGTTGATATACTCTTCGCTACTATCGTTGTGTTCCTGTCCCCTATTCTTCCCGGGTTGTCCCCTTGGCGGCCGTTTGCACATACAAAATGCCACCAACAGGAGTGCGAGCAGTACCACTAGGAACCCAAGTGACAGTCCGACGATCCAGTATACGCTGTTCGACACTGAACCTGGTACTATCCCGCCGCTGGTACCTGCTGGTATCAGTACCGTGATGTTCCTCTCGTCCTCGCCGCCTGGGTTCTTGGCGATGCACTTGTAGTCGCCGCGGTCCCTGTAAATTAAACGCAATTTTTGAGTCCTTCATAAATGTATAAAAAATAAATGAGTCAAGGAGATTCTCGGTATTTTCTACGCAAACTTTTAGTTTAGGAATACGGAAGCTCTAAGCATCATTAGTGATAATAAATATGATCTGTAATAAGATTAATAGTTCAGAAACGATTATAAATTCTTTTTTTTGCTTAAAAATTATCATAACTAGAAAAAACACCTAAAAACGAAGATGCACTTGCGGGTGCCGCGGTCCCTGAAAATTGAACGTAATTTTTGAGTTCTTCATATATAAAAAATAAATGAGTCAAGAAGATTGTCGGTATTTTCTACGCAAAATTTTAGGAATACGGAAGCTCTAAGCATCATTAGTGATAATAAATATGATATGTAATAGGATTAATAGTTCAGAAACGATTATAAATTCTTTTGTTTTGCTTAAAAATTATCATAACTAGAAAAAACATCTAAAAACGAAGATGCACTTGCGGGTGCCGCGGTCCCTGAAAATAGAACGCAATTTTTGAGTTCTTCATATATAAAAAATAAATGAGTATAGAAGATTTTCGGTATTTTCTACGCAAAATTTTAGGAATACGGAAGCTCTAAGCATCATCAGTGATAATAAATATGATATAATAATAAGATTAATAGTTCAGAAACGATTATAAATTATTTTTTTTGTTGCTTAAAAATTATCTAACTAGAAAAAACACCTAACAATGAAGATGCACTTGCGGGTGTCGCGGTCTATAAAAATCAAACGCAATTTTTGAGTTATTTTTCTCTAAGCCCTAAACGGACCAGATTAATACATTACGAGTAGTTGATAAACGATTAGACATTCTTTTTCTTTGCCTAAAAATTATCATAACTAGAAAAACACCTAAAAACGAAGTTTAGGGTTATATGGAATTTTTAGTTTTCTGTTTTTCATCACTGGAATAATTTATAAAATCTTCAGAGCCTTTTCTCCCCTGGCATATACTTACAAAAACCGAGCAGTATCTCCCGAGTTATCAGATACGTGCCACGTAACATAAAAAAACAAACAATACTTCGCTTTCAAAATGTTTCTCAATAGAAAACGGGTTGACCATTTTAATAACTGGCTTATATGTCCGTAAACTTAATATTTACATGGAGTGGTCGTACCGACCCGTTCTCGATGTGTACAAAATGATCGAGATAGAATTTGAGGCATGCAATGTTGAGGTCACACATCTCTTTTTCAACAATCTATTTGAGTGAGTATTCTTAGTATTTTTCGTCTGATTGTTTCATGGTGTGTATAGAGATTATCGATAAGCAACAATATCAGTGTTTTTGTCTAAAAGCGTATTTATGCAGTTTTTTAACAATCGTTACTCTTTGCTTTGAAATTGTATGAGTATATTCCACATTTCTTATAGATTATTGTAAGTATTTAATTTTTTGCTTACGTTCCCTTTCCTTCAAAAAAGCTTTGCTTTTCTTGAACACATTTGCTCATTCAAGAAAACCGAAGCTTTTTGAAAATAAGATGATAATAAAGCAATTACACAAATCTACTATAAATGTGTTAACAAGTTGCGATTGTTATAAAAAATGCATGAAAATGCATTTTTTCCAAACAATGTTTCTATATGCAAGACTTAAAATACATCCCTCGTATCTCTCCGTATCAAGATGGACAGTGTAGTCAATGCTTTAGGCCTTCAGATACGAGATCAGTACTCTAAGTAAGACTCATCTGGGTCTCGTGTATAGTGGGAAGATTGGAATATGAAACGTAGTTCTTAGCTCTCAACCTAAATGATAACTTCCAGAATTCTGAATGAGTGACTTATTGGTAAATGTCATTCATGGATGCTCATCTGGGGGCCTCCAGTCCCAAAAGAAAATTGAACTGCTTTATATTCCTACGTCCCCAGGAAGTAATGATATTCATGTTAAAGAGGGCAGTCTTCTTTCCATTCTATCCCCGGAGATCTCAATCCGTAGATGATATTTATCGTTTCTTGAAAGGTACTCAAAATGGCGCAGAATCAACGTTGTAGACAAAACTGATCCCTGAGGAATGCTGACGTTGGTTTAGAGAAACGAAGGGAAGATACATTGACTGCAATTTTCATCAAAATATTAGAGAAACTAGAGAGTAAGTCCACTACCTACCTACATAGCGTCTAAGGGAGATTGTAGAAGTACGCAGTAGGTTAAAGAAAGTTTTGGTAATATCAACAACAACGACATGAACCTCTCCAAGCGGTTTGATAGGATTAGATGGCGTAAGGTAGGAGGAAAGAGTTGTTTCAAAATCTCAGAATCCTCCATTTGTCATAAAAACAGACCTTAAAAGTAATATGAAACACAGACTCCAGTACTATACATTTTTAAATTGTCAAAGCATTCAAAAATCTAATTATTACACTTTTCAGCCTTACCTGTAGTTAACATTCACTATCGTCAAATTATTCCACGTGTAACCATCTACAGTGGTTTTTCTCGCAATGACATACTTTTGCCTATTTTTTCTTGGATCTCTTTCTACAATCATCCCGCCGTTCGTCCAATCAACATCAGGAGTGGGATCACCAGTCACCTTGCAGGTCAATGTGACGTTAGCTGAATTTGCTTCTATCTGTGTTAGTGGAACTGGTTCTAGAAAAAAAGAAGCACATATTAAAACAATCTACTTTCGTTATTAGAGACTATGTGTTTACTTATGTTTAAAAAAAAGTAATGTAGTAGCCATTGACAACGATAATGTAAAGCTAGGGGTCTACAAAGGAATTTACACTCGTTACATATTTTTATATATATCTTATAATATAAATCAAGTAAGACGTATTATGAAGTCCTATTAATTAGTCAAAAATTACTATACAAACTATTCTACATGAACAAGATTTTATTTAGTTGTTAATAAAGTTTTAAAATATTTTTCTTGCAGAAATATGCAGTTTTATGCTGCTTAAATTTAACGATAATGAAGAGCATTTGCCTGAAGTTTTCAAATAAAAACGTCCTGCTATATAATGTGACTCGCTTTTATTTAAAAACTTGAGACGCAGGAGCTTCATTATCGTTAAAATATTAAGAAGCATAAAATGGCATATTTTCAATCGAAGCTCATTTTTTTATTTTTAGTTTGTTTTATGAATAACTAAACAGAAGCTGCTTCTAAAAATGTATTGTGTCTTTCATTTATTTAAATTGTGTATTACGGCTTTGTGATGTCCGTTTGGTGATCTGGTTGGTATCAACCACACATTTACTCTTGACGCCTTTGCCTCTGGGGACGATGAAACTAACAATGAAACGCGCTGCTACCAGAATGGATTTTGGAGGATTAAGAAGTTAAAAAAAATAGTTTTAAGCAAACCATAACCTTCTTCTGACGAAAGTATACAACTAAAGTGATACTGAAATATTAAGTCATATCAGTATAATGTGCATCCTCCAATAAAAATAGAAATAGCATCTAGAACCTTCCAAAAAGAATCTATTTTGTTACTGGATTGCAATAAAAATTGGCTTACCAATGATTTGCGGAGCACATGCAAACACTACGTTGTCCTGCCAAGCTCTGCCTTTCAGCTTTGGCGGACTATCACAGTCAGTTCGCGTTGTGATTAGGCTATTCTTTATGGCACTTTGTCGGAATTCCTGTAGATGGCAGTCGCAGATCCAAGGATTGCCTGCAAGAAAAAAGAAAGATTTATTCAATACGTCAACAGATTGTTTTAAAATTCGTCCTTCAATTTGACGACAAATTATACGAAAATGTTTACCGCAAAAGATCTACACGATTAGTGATGTCAGAAAATTAATTTTCTGATCAAAAAATGCAATGGCATTTTTTTCCCGAACTGGTAAGCGTAACTGCTGTAAGTCTTGCCCAATTCATTTAGTCTACAAGAAAATAGCCTAAAAGAATTTGGGAAGAATGCAACATCTCAGCGTCTTGCCTGTTACATGCTTCCCTGATTTTTTTGAGATACTTCCCATATTACTAATTCACAAAAAAGATTAGTCGAAAAAATCAATGGCCTAAAAAGCTTCTGGTTTTGTTTGGGTTGGATCATTTTTCTGTATAGTAGCAGCAATTCTCTCTGGAACCGGCAAGTACTCAGAGAAAACTTTAGATTTGCAAAAAAATACCTCATAATCTTAAATTAAAACATTTGGGTCTCATTTTTCAAATATTACGTCATCTAAAATTCCTCCACTACATTCCAATCTCACCTCCATCACAATGGACCTTTTGTTTCAAGTTAGTGATAATCCTTAAAGTATTGTAGTAAATTTTGCCATTGAGATGCTTTCACAGTCAAAAGTTGCAGTCCTCTTTCGAGCCAAGCAATCCAAGAAAGCGGAAGAGGCAACCAATGCAAAGTTAGAAAAATTTTAATTTTAAACTAATAATTATCTATCGCTGTTTGAAATTTGATGACAATGTGTTGCTTCTTGGATTTCCGTTACCTGTAAGCTTTTCTAATTCACGATGTTTCGACGAATGTGATCTTCAATAGTCATCAGGTGAACTGGCAAAGATGCTCCTTTTTTGACTATACCGTTTGATGGTTGTGACCGGTGGTTGGTTGTGACGTATCCCTCGTTTTGGTCGGATGAGTGGTTCGACGTTTCTTAGAATCAGCTGCCACACATTATTTCAAAACTTGACTTCTTTGATTTTTCTCCGATGCCAGCGTGTTTCTTTGTGTAAGATCTTTAAATGATTCCTAAGGATTCTGTAGTGCTTTGTCCAAGCGTGATCTTACGGATAGTGGTCTTTTTGTTTCTCCTATGGTTCCTTGAAAATCTAGTTTCGATTTAGTATCGTCTTATTCCCGCAATAGTAGAATTAGTGTATGCTAGGGTTCATGTCTCGTGTTTCTACTATTTATGGTGTTGTTTTCTTTCATTCATCAGTCGTCATGGGTAGCTATTTCTTGTTAGATCTCCTTTGATGCTTCCTGTAGATTTCTTTGCGTGCTCCAGTTACTCTTTGACGGTTCTAATAATAGACTTTCTTCGTACTTGCTGGATGACTGGATCAGAAATTCAGGTATTGCCCTCTATGTGTTTTTTGTATACAGTAGTTTCTATTTTGGAATTGTTCTTTGTTACCATGATGTCCAAGAATGGGAGGCTGTTGTTGTTCTTTTCTTCCCGTGTACTCTTTATCTATGGCCTTAGATTGTTTGGGCGTTCGAAGAAGGCTTGTAGTTTCTTTTCTCCATGGTTCCAGATTACGAAAGTGTCGTCCACATATCGAAGCCAAATCTTGGGCTATGCATTTAAGCTTTTAATGCCGATTTGGAAAGGGGGGAATTAAATATTCAAAAGGATATACCTTCTTTCTAGATTGAGTTTCTTTATATTATGGCTGCTACCTCAAGATCCTCATATTGAAAACTATGCTAAAACAGACAGTACGGTGCCACTTGCCACACTGCCAGGGTCCACATGGATCAACTTCGTGAACTGATTCCGGAAAGATCTAGTTTTAGTGCATCGATCACTAGTTTGGCCCCTTTCTGTGAAGATAGCTCAATGACAAGATTTACATCGATATTCCGAGCGCTGTCGGCGACCAGAAAGAAAATATCATTCGCGAATCAAGCGAAATTGAACTTGCTATGCTTCAGTGCGTTATACGAAATGTGGTGGACAGATTCATGAGTGAGGGCAACGAAACGGAGGAAATCTAGACGACGTATTAATCAAAAACTGAAATACGCGTTCCTGGAGATTCATTTTTACAGTCCATCATGGAACGTATGGGTGTAAAAATGGTTCTTTGTCTTTGAAAAAACCGTATACGAGGGGTGTCCTTTAAATTTTGCATATAGAAACATAGTAGGCCGCGTGGATCGAACGTCAGTACTGAATCTTAACCTCACTCTTTACTAAACTTAAATTCAAAGTTTCACAACAATACGTGCGGTGTTCTCACAACAATGAATTTTTAAGTGTCACCAAGTCCTTAGAAAAATGAAACTCAAGCGAGAACATTTTAGCGCCATAATTAATTTATTACAACAATTATCGCCACAAGAATGCCTTGCTGAATTACTGGCTGTTTTCGGCAACGAAGCGCCACATCAGTGGACAATTTCCCGTTGGTATGGAGAATTCAAACGCGACGATCCCAGGCTGGGTGCAACAAAAACGGCAGAGACAGCGAGATTGAGGCGTCCTTGAAGATCTCAAAGACCTCAATTCACAAAATGTTACATGAAGAATTAGGAGTAAGAAAATTAGTTTCTCATTGGATACCCCACCTGTTGACTGAAGAGCACAAAGCAGCCAGGGTTAATTCGTGTCAAAAAATGCTTGACCATTTCAATTCCGGAAACTCAAAAAATGTGTACAGCATTGTTAGTGGTGACGAATCGTGGATTTACTGTTATGAACCAGAAAATAAACGACAGTCGGCTGTTTGGGTGTTCCAAGGTGAAGAAGTGTTTCGAAAAAGATGGTCGCGAAATTTGTGTCAAAAGCGGGTCATATTGCAACACTTCCACTAACTGAGCAAAGAACTGTTACTGCGGATTGGCATACCACCATTTGTTTGCCAACAGTCATCACCGAGCTTCGAAAAATCAACCCCGAAAGAAGAATCATCCTCCACCAAGACAATGCAAGCTCGCACTTAGCCCAAAAAACAAGGCAGTATTTAACGGAAGAAAACGTGGAATTATTTGATCATCCTCCATATAGTCCCGATCTAAGTCCTAACGACTTCTTTGTTTTCCGAAAATTAAAAACAGACTGCGTGGTCAAAGGTTCCAGTCACCAGAAGAAGCAGTTGACGCATTCAAAAATGCCGTTTTGGATCTGCCAGCAAACGAGTGGAATAAGTCCCCCGAAAATTGGTTCGAGCCCATGCAGATGTGTATTAATCTTCGTGGAGAATACTTCGAAAAACAATAAAGTCATTTAAAACTACCTACCGTGTTGTTTTATTTCCATATGCAAAACTTAAAAGACATCCCTCTTTCTATTACAGGTGATTATAGTTAGTCTCTAAGGATGAGAATTGCTGTAATGGTCATTTCAAAAAACACAAAAAAATAACAGATTTAAATTCACCAACTTCAAAAACGAGGTTAAGGGCGAATACAGTATCAACTTTGTCTTACTCTCGGTTTGGCCGAAAAATCATTTATTTAGAAGTTTTCTTGTTGTCTACGAAATCCATTGACCCAATATTTTTTTATATGTCTGAGAAAGTCCTTTCAATATACGCTAAATATTTAAAAAATGCACAACATCTATCTTGCTCAACAGATTTTTTCATTGAAAATATGCATTTTGCTGTCAGTCAAATAAGCACGTGGGTTTTTCTACAACCGATTGCCGATTATTGAAGAAGACTGATCGAGTAAGCCTATGGTTTTTCAAGTGCCTGATCTATGGGAAGTAAAACGCGAAATTCTGTTTTCCTTCTTTGTGGGGCTTTCCTCTATGTAACTTAAAGATGGTAAAACATGCAAAATTAAAAAATCCGACATGTTTTAAGTCGCAAGTCAATATTTGAGTGTAATTTTCAATAACATTAAAAAAAATATAACAATAATAATAAACGTCTTTTACTGAGGGCCAAGTTTTGCTTCTGATTATCACTGATCAACAGCCAAAAAATATCCTAAATAAAATCAACAAAATATTACTATTTTTAATGTGCTAAAACCGGAATGAAACTTATTTTTTTAATATTAGTTCAAGTTTTAGAGATACGGTAATTATATGTGTTCCTGCTGTGACAGTGTTAATATACTGTAATTCACAAGAATGCACGTGCTACATTTTTATATTCGGCAAGGAAAGATGATGTAATCGGCATGATTGTGTTACGTTATACATACGTGTACATTACATTGTTTTATATTAGCCATTTTTTCCTCAGTTGGCTGACAGCGTTCATGCAAGATGTCTCGAAAGTGTGTAAACAATCCAGATCAGTTTTGTTACGTGTGTGGTGATGTGACTTTTGCGTCTCAGAGACGGTCTATTACTCCACTAATAACAAAGGCATATCAGCTTTATTTCGGTTGTAAACTAAGTGATCAAGACAAACAGTGGGCACCCCACATCTGCTGTAATACATGTGCTTCAAGTCTGAGGAGCTGGTTAAATGGCAAAAAACGATCTATGCACTTTGCTGTCCCAATGGTTTGGAGAGAGCCTACAAATAATATTAATGATTGTTACTTTTGCATGGTACCTTGTGGTGGACAAGCCACAGGTATGTCCAAGAAAAAAAAATCGGTTATTAACTATCCAAACATACCATCTGCGATGAGACCTGTGCCTCACAGTGACGAAAATCCTATTCCAAAACCCCCAGAATCCTACACTTGCGAATCAGAAAACGAATCAGATCATGGCGATCGAGTGATTCGTCAGGAAGAAGATATGCCATCAACGTCAAGAGATCCTGATTTTATACCGAGCACGTCATGCCACCAACCGCACAAAATAACACAGACAGAATTAAATGATCTTGTAAGAGATTTAGAACTTCCAAAATGTAAGACAGAGTTACTTGGATCAAGACTGCAGCAGTGGAACTTGTTAGAAGACGATGTTTCGGTATGTGTTTTTCGTAAACGCCACAAAGACTTAGAACTATTTTTCAATATGGAGAATAACTTGGAGATTGTTTATAGACAGTTCAACTTTGTGTTTAAAGGCAGTGTTATTGCATATTGGAAATATTTTACCAACTCTTCCTGTAGGGTATGCAGTTCACATGAAAGAATCATATGACAATATGAAGTACCTATTGACATGCATAAAATACGATGAGCATATTTGTGGCGATTTGAAAGTTGTTGCACTTTTACTTGGGCTGCAGCTAGGCTACACAAAGTTTTGCTGTTTTTTGTGTGAATGGGACAGTCGGGCAAAGACACTTCATTACACCAGACAAAACTGGCCTGTTCGTCAATTCCTAGAGCCAGGTCAAAAAAATGTACAGCATATGCCATTAGTAGATTCGAAAAAAAATTTATTACCACCACTGCATATCAAGTTGGGCCTATTGAAAAACTTTGTCAAGGCATTAGATAGAGATGGGTCAGCTTTTCAATACCTGCGTCAGAAATTTCCAAGTCTAAGTGAGGCAAAGGTTAAAGAAGGTATTTTTGTTGGGCCACAGATTCGAAATATTTTGAAAGATACACAGTTTGAAAACACTTTAACAGGTATTGAAAAAACTGGTTGGAATGATTTCCGTCTGGTGGTCACTAATTTCTTGGGAAATAGAAAAGCTGACAACTATAAAACCCTTGTCAAAAATATGCTGTTATCGTATCAAAAGTTGGGCTGTAATATGTCTCTTAAGATACATTTCCTACACTCACACCTGGACTTTTTTCCTGACAATTGTGGAGCCGTAAGTGATGAGCACGGCGAACGTTTTCATCAGGATATTTCAACAATGGGAAAAAGGTACCAGGGAAAGTGGAATCCTTCCATGCTTGCAGACTACTGTTGGACTCTTGGTAGAGATGCTCCAGAAACGATTCATAAAAGAACAGCAAAAAGACAGCGCATATAGTGATTCTTATAACTATATGAATCTTGTTACTTTTTTAATATATCCTTAAAAATAAAAAGTTTTTTTCTAAACCGCAACTAATTTTTTTATTTCATTGTCATTTTTGGATTCAGCGCCCCAAAATTAACAAAGAAGTGCACTTTTCCCACAAGATACAATTAAAAAACTAAAATTTGTTGTCCAGTTGTCCATAATAATTATTATTATGGATAAAATATAAAGGTAATTCGAAATTTAAATCTTTTAAAATCAAAATACCCTATTTTTTGTGCATGACAAAATTTGTATTGTCCCCTGAAAAATTCAAATTGTGTTTCTGAAATGGCCGATTCAACTATCGAATGTTACTTTAAAATAAATGACACTTACCTTCAACATTTAAGCTATTCAGTCTGGGCAGGGTTTTCTTCAAATCAAAATCTAAGGTCTGCAACCTATTGTCTCCTAAGTCAATGTGCGACAGAGATGGAAGATTCTGGAACGTCTCCGGCGATATCGACTCTATTTGATTATGGTCCAACGATATCCTTTGCAAATAAGACATGTTCCTGAACAGCTCATCGTCCAAAACCTTGATGTGATTGTAACTCAATATGAGTATCCTCATCTTCACTGTCTCCCGAAAGACGTGTTTGTGCAGTTTCTTAATATAATTCCTAGCTAGATCTAACTCTATGAGCAGAGCCAACTGATAGAAGGCTTTTTGGTCAACGTATTCTATGCTGCAGTTCTGCAACTTCAGCTTATGGACATTGGACAAGTTCGCGTCCGCGAAGATCTTTTTGTCCAATCGGTAGATAGGGTTGTAGGAAAAGTCTATTTCTCGTATGAGACTGCTAAGGTCGTTGGGTATTGAATTGAAGTTTAGGTTCGTACAGTTGGCTGTTCTTTTGCCATTGGCCCATCTACACGAGCACTTGTTGCACTTTTGGGTGAAGTCTTCTTCTTCTTCAGCCATTAGTGTGGCGGTGGTCCAGAGGAGGAAGAGGTAGATGCTTCTGAGATCCATCATGCGGCTTGAAGTTTATTTCCTGGTATCTGCAACAATGGAAAAAAGCTTTAGAACATTTTTTTTTCAGAAAGTCATTGTACAATGTCTAATTTTAATTTAAAGTGACTAGTCTTAAGTGTCCATCTAGCACAGGCTAAATCTCTTTCATAGGATGATTTCTCTGAGCATAAGTCTGCAATGACTGAATTTTTACCCTCGAATGTACATTCTACAGGGTGTTTCAGAAAGACGTACCAATATTTCTAGTGTAGAAAGTACGTAAAAAAATAACTAAAAGGTACCTATAAATATGGGTGTAAATATGTTCCCCTACCGAGATAAAGGGTGAAGTTTTATTTACGAAATTTGAAAAAACATATCTACAGAGCAGGTAAACATACTGAGTTAGGATTTCAGACGTTCAGTGAGCACAACATCAGCAATAATAACAGAGTTTCCCGGCCCAAACTAAACCAGCGACGTAGAAACTGGGGTACCTGGACCCCTGATAGGAAATGTTTTCTACGCCACTGCTCTTTTTGGAGAAAAGAAGTGCATCTTATAAAATATCATTCAATTTTACGTAAGTTTTTATTTAAAGTATTTTATTATATATATATATATATATATATATATATATATATATATATATATATATATATATATATATATATAAGTATTATATTTAGGTTTTAATATTTGAGCGGAAATCCTAAAATTTTCTTATGAATAGGTTTAGCCTCCCCTATTCTGAAAATACTGTGAAGCGTGATACTGGAATCACTATGAGACATGTGGTGAAAGCTATGGCGCCTCATTAAAACATAAATTGAATAATATGCGTGTACTATTCATTAAACTTTTCACGCGCACGCCACTGGTTTTGCCGGCATATTCATTTTTGTCTAGATATAAAGAAGCTTCAAAACAAAGAAAACGTTTTTTGTAAAAATAAATAAACCCTGTTCTTAACAATTAAATTTATGAGGACATAACATTGGCAACAGAAAATAAAGCTCCTAAGAGGATGTATATTATTGTGCCACGTTTTGTTCAAAACATGTTTTGAGATTACAAATAAATTGGTATTCTTCACTGCGAATGGTAGCAGTTACAACTTTGTCATTTTAATCACGATAGGAGAAGATCCCAAATTAGAGTTACTGATCAAAACGCGAATATTGAGCTCGTCTACAGAAAGGAGTGCCTACTAACTGAATTACCCCACGACGCACACCTTCTGTGTATGAAAAATATTGATCTAGATACAAAACATAATATCAGGTAAAAGGTCGAGCATAACTGCGTGTAGACTGAAGTTATCAATTCAGAATTGTTTTGTAAGTAATTCAGTTTAATGAAAATCAGAGCTATAATACTTTAACTCATCATTGGGTCCAAAAATACACACTTTAAAAATACTCAACGCAGTATTGCTTTGGTACTGTTACCATAGATAGGTGTTGTTCTATACTTCTGGAAAATTACTTCAAACTTATTTAGAAGCCCGTTGAAATAAACGGGAAAAACTGAACCCTTCCGATTGTTCCTAGTGGCGTACCACAGGGCTCTGTTTTAGGTCCCGTTCTGACCCTGAACCGTTATTAATGATCTGGACAGATCGTTGCCTGGGGCATTGCTTGTGCTTTTTGCAGATGACACACAGCCACAATTTAAAACAACAATAACAAATTTGGCAGAGTAGATCTGTGAGACTACCTATCGACAAAATAAAAAGACATCTATTTGATACTGGGACGAGAATTACGACCAAAAATTGGCGAAAAGGCTCTTAAAGTTGCAGTTATTGGTAAGCGTTGTTCGTTCGTGTACTTCACCATGGATGTTTTGACATTGACAGTTCTGTAATTGACTTAAAGGCGCGTTCACAGTGAAAGTTGTCAAGTCCCCGATACCATCAGTTTTGCCCGCGTGGCTGCTAAGGCCGGAGAAATTCTACGTTCAGTCCTTGTCAAGGTAGCAGATGATATTGCAGCTGAACAGTCAAAGTAATGTTTTTACATCAGATGTTTATAACGCGTATTCATTTAGCTGGATAGCGAAAACGCAAAATGAAACCCACAAACGAAGTTACGAATACGTTCATCACACAACAGGTCGCCCCCAATAGATAATCAAATAATTAATAAGTAAGACATGACCAATACGATGATTTACAGCAGAAATACTCATCACGGTATGAAACGACGCCGACAAAATATGTTCGTTTCACAACAGGTCGCTTCCAATAGATAATCAAATAATTAATACGTAGCACATGGAGAATACAATAAAAATACTCATCACGCCATGAAACGACGCCGACAATATAATATCATTAAAAGCTCATATTAAAGTTCCGCTATAGAAATCCACTATCGTTAACCGAACTAACACATGGCACACACTTTTTTCCGACCTTTTCCACATCAATAATATTGATCAAGATAACGAAATAACGAAATACTATAGGTGTTTACGGACAATAGTGTGTCATTCAGAATTGCTTTGTGAATAACTGGGGAGTACGTCGATCATTAGGTCCAAAAAGGCAATTTTGAAAATACTTAACTCAGCCTTGCTTTTGTATTGCTAGAAGTCGTTTATTAATCAATGCAACTTGGTGCAAATTCAAGAAATAATTTCAACTTTTTTGCGACTTGTGGCATACCGTTAGAATCGGGATAAACTAGAGTACTTTTCAAAAGAATTCTAAGAACGTGAACGCTTTTAGTTTTTTTTACAGAAATTCAAAATTGAGACTTACTTTTTTGTTCTTCTTTGTAACCCTTTGTGAGTTTATAAATAAAAAACTACATGCTGCTGGCAAGTAATGTTGATTTTGTAAGACTGGTGCAACATCACCCATTAAGAACAATTAATCATTAGGTGGTCATACTCTTTATTTTTTTATTTCACTTTGCGTATTACAATTTGTAGTTTTTACTAAAAAAAATTAAAAAATCTACATAATTAATTCCGTTGGGCTAAAAACTGTTTGAGAGACCTGGGGTGATAGAAGAATACCTCCTCTGTCCGCCATTTCAATTTGTCCAACGATGCATCAAACACCCTGTATTATTAATATAAGTAGATGGTAGATGGTCTCTGACTGTCGAACGCGGAGGTACCACCCGGCGGATCCCCATGGGTGATTAGGCCTTAGGCCTTCGTGGTAGTTCGGAGTATAAAAAAGCAAATAAGTTCGTGTATGTAGTCTGTAGGAACATATGCCTTTTCACTGAATAATGCTGATCAAATTTTTACGAAAAAAAAAACTTTGTTTTCTGCCGCAACCGAATCGGACCACGTGTATACTGAAAGTCCTCTTACTGAATTTCTTTTAAAGTCATGAAGTTTGACAAAAATACGTTTACCAATGCTTATAAAATACTCGTTTCTGAAATAATGTAACACTGCACCTATAAGGGTTGGATTAATTTCTTTTAAAGTCATGAAGTGTCACAACACAAATCATCCTTCCCCTGCAGTTCAACCGTTTAGCTTTACACTTTTTTACTAAAGAAAAGGTTTGGATATTATTTGTAAAATTAAGTCATGTGCAAAGGGTCTGGATGGCCTAAACTTAGATCTGTTGATTCCCTTAATTCCATACTGTATCGATGTATTAACACGCATTATAAATTTTTCACTAGAAAAAGGTGTCGTGCCGAGCCTATGGAAAGCCGCTATGCCTCTTGCAAAAATTGATGATCCGATAGCACCTGGTGATTTCAGGCCTGTTAGTATACTGCCATTCCTATCTAAAATTCTGGAAGGAATTGTCTATGAGTAAATACTAGGACACATAAATAAAAACAGTTTGATTCCAAATGTTCAGTCGGGGTTTCGAAAAGGTCACAGTACGGTTACCACTTTGATTCACATATGTGATGACTATATCAGGGCTATGGATAAATCTTGTGTCACAACGTCAATTCTAGTTGATCTCAGCAAAGCTTGCGATTCTATCAATCATGAATTGCTGCTTGCTAAGCTGCATTATCTTGGCTTTTCTGATAGTACTGTTAACGTGGTTTAGGAGTTACTTGCATGAGCGGTCACAGCTAGTCAATGTAGGCAGCTGTATGTCCGATAAGCCTGCTATTTTTAAGGGGGTACCGCAGGGCTCCATACTTGGCCCGATTTTGTTTACTTTGTATACGTCCGATCTAAGTCGTGATATTAAATATTGTTCTATTCAGTCTTACGCTGATGATACCCAACTGTATTTGTCTTACCACCCTTCTGATTTCCTGGAGGCAAACAGGAGAATGTCTTGTGATCTAGATCGTGTTGCAAAGTGGTATAACGATCACGGGTTACTTATCTATTCAAACAAATCTCCTGTCCTAACTATTAAATCCATACAAGGTAATTTCTATAGTAACTTGATAGAATTGCACTTGGAAGGTGGAGACTTGCCTCATATAAAATCCGTGAAAAATTTAGGAGTAGTAGTGGATGAACATCTCACGTTTCACGATCATGTTTTCAGGGTTGTGCAAAATTCATATGCTAAACTGAAGACAATTTACAGTTATAAACATGTATTATCTAGTCAAACCAAGATCAAGCTTTGTAACTCTTTGATTCTCAGCAAAGTCGAATACGCTGATGCGGTGTATGGTCCATGCCTGAAGCAGTCGGAAGCTTATAGGACACAAAAAGTGCAAAATAGTTGTATCAGGTAAAATTAATTCATATTATTATTATTATTATTAAAAATACGTTAATCAATGCTTATAAAATACTTGTTTCTGACAAAATCCCCCATAAGCATCGGATTCAAAAATCCAGCGTTGTAGTGTTACTCCCAAAAGGGCGTCATTTCATCAATCCATTTCCACTGAAAGATTGTTGTAATATAAACGTTAAGAGTTGAACCTTTTATAAAGCACGTCATTTAATGTTGTGGTCAATCACAAAAGAAGTACTTCTGGATAAATTATAATACATCTTATAAGGCAATAGCGAATATTAATTTATAGTTCGATAACAAATAAGGCGAATACACTTACACATCGAGTAATAATCTTTTCTGCAGAACCATGACA